TATAAATCCTATATTTACACTGACGTTAGGTTGAAGACAACCGTCACAATAAATTGGACTTACTATGGCTGTTGTCTGAAGCCTTCCGGCAGTGCAAATGGAGATTTACAGTGGTGGTTGTCTTAAGCTTATTACCGGTGTAAATAGAGGATTTGTACTGGCACTAGTCTTAAGAAAACTGTCAATATCAATACATCTCTACTGGCAGTTTATAGCCATGGGGCCCTAGTTTATTTCTATTGTTGTTTGTTCCATATAAGAAGGGTCAGTAAAAAAATGATTGGCATCGATAAAATCTGTTTCTGTACTTATGGTCTGAGAATTGTACTGGCATTGTATGGACGTTATCTTGTGGGCCATGGGCGAGAAGAAGATCGGCACTACTGCTAGGTAGATGATAGCTACGGTCAAGTGCCTAGGCAAGTAAAGCCAAACTAGCAGATATCGACAACTGCTCGTCGTCCCTGATCCAGAGATCCACGTGGCTGGTGATGATATAAACATGGACGCATACGAATGAATGAAACGTGTATCGACAGTTCAGACCCGGTCAGCTGCATGCACGGTCTCGGCGGTCCATGCACGGCTTGCCATGATAACTACTAACGAGTCTTTTGTGTAGTAGAGAATACAAATATATACACATATATCAAGCTGGAGGTACAGCAACGTGATCTCAATTTCCACATGGTGTCTCCTTCAATCGGTGTTTCCTGGACTTATGTTGGCTGACTGACTTCAGTCGACTCTTAGTCAAACCACCTTTTTTTATCATGAATGATACTCCGTCCATTTATTCCAAATTGTAAGTCATAGTTTTTTTTAGAAATATAACTTTTGTTATTTATTCAATTAGATAACTTTTTTCCATTGATTGATGGCAACGGGTGACCCTGGTCTGGTCTACCACACCACAGCACGCCATGCACCTGCAACTGGTCGGTGCAGAGGCGGACCAGACCATGCACCTCAGGGCGACGCGCGTGGGACTCCGGAGCACGCGTCGTGCACAGGCGCGGGCGGCTGTCCGTGCTGCATCGGTTCTGGATCGTTCCCGTAGAAAATCGAGTGCTTACCGGTATAGTTTTACCGAAAAGAAAAGCGGCGCAGCTGACAAGCGCACATGGCGCTGCCGCGGCGCGGCCGCCGCCGACTCCAGCGGCAGGCGGTGCGGCGACCATCTGGTTCTCTGCGGTGGGGACGGCGGCGCGAACCTGCAGGTGGGTGGTGAGGACCTGGTGGGTGGCGGCGTGGATGCGGCGTAGGCACCACAGCACAGGCGGCGTCCTTGTGTTAGTAGTCTGGTGCAGGTGAGCAACCCTTCGTTGGCGTAGTTGCTAGCGATAGCAGGCTATCAACCCTGCTTCTCCCCTCCGTACGGTAAGACGTTGCAGGCATGTGAACACATGGTGGAGTTGTGCCCACGTGTGTGTGATGAGTCACATATCCACGTGTGTGTGATGAGTCACAGATCCAGTGGAGTTGCAGCGGGCACGGTCCCGTCGGCCACGAGCCAGGCGCGGGTGCGACCCAGGCTAGAGCAATCTGTTTACGGATGAGAATTGGGTGATATGGTTAAGCTAATGACGCTTATTTGGTATAAAAAATAGTATTTTAATATATTTGGTTAAACTTGAAATTGTTTCACGTATCAAAATATGAGACCTGCACTTCTTTCAGCTGGAGAAAGTGCATACTAAAAAAGTTACTGACAGCGCGCAGTGGCTGCTCATTCAAGTACATAAATGCTGCGGAACACAAGTTGCAGTGCAGGGCTTAATATTGTTGGCATAGTCCTGACGATGATAGAAACTTCGATGTGTGAATGTGTGATGAGCATTCACGGGACTGAATTTATTCAGTCTGATGGTGTGGTCTCCTCCTAAACAGTGTTTTTATCTGACTTGATTGGTTTGCGTGTGAACGAGATCCCCTGCGATGGATCAGCATGAGAAAAGCGTATAAACGCACATACTAGTTTGTCAAGGCCCAGCATGCCACTGCACTCAGATCTAACCCAAGACATCAACCGCGGTCTAACTCAGCATGAGAATTATGTGCGTGCAGAGTGCGACGGCAGCTGCCACCCGTTGCCGGCTACGTGGTTGCATTGTATCCACCCATCACTACAGGAAACTGGCTCTTTGCCGACTGCAATTTTCTTTGCCAACTGTTTTTTTTCGACTTTCGCAAGAAGAGGTCCCTTTGCTAAGCTGGAATTTCCTGCAGTCGGCAAAGCAGGATTTGCCGATTGCACTGGCTTTGCCGACTGCCAGGCAGTTGGCAAAAATTGCGATCGGCAAAGGCAGGCCATGGTTGGCGCCATCCACACCGTCACCTTTGCCGGATTGCCACTCCGTCAACGATCGGCAAAGGCGCGAGCTTTGTTAAGCGCCATCCTCCCTGGCGATCGGCGCAAAGAATTTTATTTTTTTTGATTTTCGATCCCGATTTTTGTGTTGCCTTGATACAAGTAAGTACATGATATATTCCAAGTTTGGGATCATTTTGATTTATTTTGCTATATTAGTAGATTTTTTACATTTCTTTGATTTTTCCGCAGACTCGATTTGAGCTGCGGTACATGAAATAATGGAATCCGCGATTCAGAAAATGATATTCATGATGTTTGGAGCATGTTGAGGCCGTGTCGCGGGCCTCGCGTGAAATTTCGACCGTGTTGGTGTCGGAACACGCCGAGCCACGCAGCGTGAAAAGTGTTTTTAAATTTTATAAAATCGAAACGAGTCCGAAAATGGCGAAACTTGACGACGTGTCTTGTCATCGCATACTTGAGGTGTGGTAAAATTTGAGAAAGTTTCGAGCAAGTGGCGACGTCGGGTGGCTAAAACACGGACATCTCGCGCAGCCCGACTCGGCGTCCAGCGGTAGCGCGCGCCCGATCCGGCCCGGCCGGTAGCGCCGCGCGTCTGACTCGGCGTCGGCGCAATGCCGCTGCCTCGCTTCGAAACCCGCCCGGCGCCGTCATTTGCCCGCCCGATCCGCGTGCCCGCTTCCGTCCGTCCGTCCATCGCCATGGCGTCCAGCCGTCCATGGCGTTCGTTAAAATCCGCCCGGCCTGCGTCGCCCAAATCCTCGCCTTGCCGTCCCGCCTCGCCGTCCTCCTCGCGCCCCCTGCTCCGCTGCGGCGGTGGCGCCGTCCGTGACGACGAGGTAGTAGTACTACTAGTAGTAGTAGTTTACTTTGTTAATACACGCTTATATTCTTACGCATGGATTGGAAATACATTTGTGGTTGTCGGCCCGTCGTGCGTGACATGTATATGTGTTTGTCGGCCATCGTGCCGTCTTTTTTCTTGAGTTTGGTAACCTTCCGTACATGGGAGGTGCTGCTCTGTCGCTCTGGAGGGACCCCGGTGAGTATATTGACTCTTGCTTTAACTTGTGCGTCCATCCTGCGAGATACTAATGACATCACTTGGCGTTTAACTTGCGGAATACGATCGGCGGGTTCGAACCCGTCTCACGGAGGTCCGGCCATCGAGATGATGTCGTATCCACCACCGCACCTATCCACCATATCCACCTCGCGTGGCCCTCCTCCGACGTACTCGTGGCGCCGGTGCTTGGAGGGTGGCGATGTATGCAGCGCCTCGGTTTGGTCCAAGGGGTTTCAGTGGGCAAACCACAGGGGGCTCTAAGGCGGAGGCGGACGAGCGAGAGCCGAGGGGGACGGCTTGACGAGCTAGGTATTTGTCGATTTCGTTATCATGTATCCACCGTGTCGTCGAAGTTGTTGTCATGTATTTCTTTTCTTCGTTATGGACCTAGACTTGTTATGTTGAACTTCGTGTGATGGACGTCGACTTGTGGTGTTCGACGTGTTGGACTTCATGTGATGGTTGTAATGCACTTGTGTGGTTGTTATTGTGACATATATGTGAGATATATGTGATGTTGTGCGTTATTGTGATATATGTGGTGATGTTGGCGACAAATGTGATGAAATTGTGATATAAATGGTGCTAGGTGCTTACGGTGAAATTGGATTATAATTTGTGATTTTGCGAGGTTTTGATGCGAGAAAAGCAGAAAACAAAAGCAAAAAAAAAAAATTCCGACTTTGCCGATTGTTTAAAATTTGGGCAAAAAACCCCGGAGACGAGTCTTTGCCGGCGCAATGGGAGGCGATCGAAAGAAAGGTCAAACCTTTGCCGATTGCAACTCAAAGCGATCGGCAAAGAACATTCAAAAAAATATTTTCTTTCTTTGCCGATTGCCGATCTGGCGGTCGACAAACAATTTTTAAAAAAATTCTTTGCCGACCGCCGAGGAACCAAGCGATCGGCAAAGCTGCCGTCGTATTTGGCGGCGCCGCGTGGCTATGCCGATGCTGGCGTGGCGGTTGGCAAAGGCTTTTTGCCGATTGTGTGCCACGTGGCAGTCGGCAAATCCGCCTTTGCCGACCCAGGCTTTGCCGACTGCTCTTTGCCGACTGCCACGTGGCTTTGCGGTCGGCAAAGCCTTTGCCGACTGGGTTTATGCCTTTGCCGACCGGGGCAAGCAGTCGGCAAAGAGGCGTTTTCCTGTAGTGCATAAATAACATTTGTAGTGGATGCCACCACAGACTACATTACGACCAACTAACCACTATGAAAAATCTCCACTGCACTCAGATCTAACCCAAGACATCAACCGATAACTGAAGGCAATAATAGAGGACATCAGGGGCAGAGGTCCGCGCAGGCCAGCAAGTCAAGTCGTCGGTCCCCACTCACGGCGGAGCAGCATATGTTGTGCTCATCACTCATCCGTGCCATCTCTAAAGACACCTGCAGTCTGAGACTCTCAGATGCCAAAGAGTTTTAACTCGGCAGTGTGAGCAAAGGTTGGTCTAGAGAGTGGATCGGCGAAGGTGTGAGCTCTCTACGCCCAGCCACCAGCAAGCATGCCTCGCTCCATCTAGAGCCTTGCCACCACCGCAGTAGCACTACGAAATCGCTACGCAATGGTCTGAACCAACCAAGAGATCAAGAAGCATGAGTGTGGTGACGGGGGCGCTGGGAAGCCTCGCCCCCAAGCTTCTTCAGCTGCTCCAAGGTGAGTACAAGCTCCAGAAGGGTGTGAGGAAGCAAGTGCAGTCGCTCTCCCGCGAGCTGGACAGCATCTACGCTTTCCTCCACAAGGTCTCAGATGTGCCATGGGACCGGCTCGACGAGCAGGTCAAGTTGTGGGCGTGCGAGGTCAGGGAGGCATCCTACGACATGGAGGATGTCCTAGACACCTTCCTCGTTTGCGTCGACGGCGGAAAGAACAACTCCGACTCCAGCAGCCTCATGACGAAGCTGGGTGAGCTGTTCAGCAAGGCCAAGGCTCGCCATTGTATTGCAGCAAAGATCATGGACATAACAAAGCGTCTCGAGGAGGTGGCCAACAATCGTCAGAAGTACAAGCTTGATGAGATTATGTGCAAGCCACTCGCAGGAACGTCAACTATTGATCCCCGCCTTAAAGCTATGTACAAAGAAGTGACACAACTTATTGGCGTCGACAAGTCAAGCGACGAGCTCATATCCTTGCTGAATCAATCCCAACAGGATCATGATGCCTCCAATAAGAAGATGAAGACGGTTTCAGTTGTGGGAGTTGGAGGATTGGGTAAAACCACTCTTGCCAAAGCGGTGTATGACAAGCTTAAGTCGCAGTACGACTGCGGGGCATTCGTTTCAATCGGTCGGGATCATGACTTGGTAAAAGTTTTCAAGGATATTCTCTTTCATCTTGACAGTGAAAACCATAAGGACATTCACAACACTGAGAGAGGCGTCGAGCTCCTCATTCACCAACTCCGAGAATTCCTGAAGAAAAAGAGGTAACACAGACATCCAATTGTAAATTGTATTATTGTATTTAGCCTGTGCTTTTAAGATATTGCTCCTCAGTTAGTCGATGCTACACTATGTCGTATGTTATCCTAAAAATGCTATCTCCACATCATTTATGCGAGAATACTTGAGATTGCTCTTTTTTTAAGTATGCAGCTTTTAGACTACTTGACTAGCTATAAAAAAGGACAATGCATTTCGCACTTCTACGCATCATAGTTTAATTAAGTAAATTCATAAACATTTTTACGAGCTTAGATTTTGAACATGTGTACCTTCTGAAACTATAAATTATAGGAAAAACAACGTTTTAGGGTTGCCTATGTTTGCAACAAGGCCATAGATGAGTAAGTTTTGTGTAATAAAGTGTCCTTAAATATGAAGTTTTCTTCGAATAGGCCACTTGGTGTGTAGTTTCTATAAATATCACTACTAGAATCCCGAATTATCTTGGGTGCTAAAAAAATGCAAAGGAAAATACAAGAACCGCAAAGGAAATTATCCTTGACCATTAACCGTCGCAACTTCCATCATGTGTTTTATTTTTACTAACACGACCTTGTGTTTTATGTGTCATGCTGACTTCCTTTAATATTAGCAAATTTCTTGCTTCTGCAGAAGCTCCAAACTTTATTAACCTATGGTTCTTCCACTTTGGTGTGGATAGGTATTTTATTGTTATTGATGATGTATGGGAGGTACGCACCTGGGAAGCAATCGAACTAGCACTTGTTGAGAATAATCATGGAAGTAAAGTAATCACAACTACTCGAAATGTTGAAGTTGCCAACGCATCTGGTGAGGTTTACAAGCTGAAACAACTTTCCTATGATGACTCCATGAAATTATTTTATACAAGGTTATCTACAGCAGACCGAAAGTTCCTTGATAACCATCCAGATGACATTTCTGAGAAAATTCTAAAGAAATGTGCTGGTATACCATTAGCAATCATCACAATGGCTAGTTTGTTGGCTGGTAAACCAGAATGCGAATGGTCAATGGTCTACAACTCTATTGGTTTTCATACTACAGATAACAGGGAAGCTGAAGATACTATGACAATACTTTCATTTAGCTACTATGATTTGCCTCCACATTTGAGGACATGCTTACTATATCTAAGTACATATCCAGAAGATTATGAGATCGAAAAGGATTCTTTGATATGGAAGTGGATAGCTGAAGGATTTATTGATGGGAAACAGGGAACAAGATTATTTGAGCTTGGAGAAAGATACTTCAATGATCTCATTAATAGAAGCTTGATCCAACCAGTGGAGAATTGGTGGAATGGCAGAGTAGAAAGATGTCGTGTTCATGATATGGTTCTTGATCTGATGCGTAAGCTTTCATCTGATGAAACCTTTATTACTATATTAGGTGATAATGTTGAAGAAACACCTGCACCAAGCAATGTCCGTCGGTTAGCCAACCAAAACAGAATAGCCGAGCACATAAATTCTGAAACAATGGTTACTGGGATGCCAAAAGTGAGGTCATATACCGCATTCAACTGCTTTATTGATAGCCGGGACCAGTTTTTGAGATTTAAGCTTTTGCGGGTGCTGGACATAGTAGACTGCAGCTTTGAGAAAGGTTGCCACCTTGAGCATCTTGGTGATTTACTTCACTTGAGGTACCTTAGGATAAGATTGAACGGTAGTTCCTTTGAGCTCCCCATGCAAATAGGGAATCTAAAGTTACTGCAAACACTCGATGTGCGGCAAAAATTTCCGCAAACACTCGATGTGCAGGGAACATTGCCAGCAAGCATTGTGCACCTAACGGAGCTGGTCCGGCTATGTGCTGACAAAAAGGTACCGGATGGGATTGGGAAGCTGGTTTCCCTGGAGGAGCTAATAATATTAGATGGTTTCATTGATAAGCCCAAGAGATTTTTCAAGGAGCTTGCCAGCCTGCGAGAACTGAGGGTGCTTCAATTTTGCACTGATGATGGGCTGGACGAGAGCATGCTGGGAGATTTCATGGAGTCTCTAAGCAATCTGCAAAAGATCCAGCATATAGATGTGGAGTGTTTAGCTTGGTACGCAGATACAGCCATGTGGGAAGCAGCCGGCTTTGTGCTCCCACGATCTCTCCATTATTTGGGATGGCGTTTAATTATATTTTCCAAATTGCCGTCATGCATTAATTCCACATGTCTTCCCAACCTGGCCTACTTGAAGCTGTATGTGATTACTATGGATGAGCAGGATCTGAAACTCCTTGCTAGGTTACCGGCGCTGTGTTCTCTCTACCTGAAAACAGAGTCCACGGTAACAGCAAGCAATATTAACTCCAGTGATCGCAGCTTCTTCCAGAAGTTGACGCACTTCCAGACCGATCAAATGGTCCAGTTTGAGCAGCCCGACAAGGAGGACACTAGCGTTTCATTGCATATGTGGAATGGAAAGGATGCTATGCCCTTTGCCTCTAGAAAAAGCAATGACTCCAGAAAAGTTGTACCCTCTGGCGTGATGCCAAATCTTGAAATGCTTTGTTTTGGTGTCTGTTTGTGGACCCTAAAAGGTAACTACAGTGACTACTGTGGGAATATTGGCTTGGAGTACCTGCCTTCCCTTCGGGAACTCAGAGGATGTATAAACCGTGATGTGACTGTTACGGACAGCGATGCTGCGTTTGCTGCACTGACAGACGCATGCAACGTGCATCCTAACCATCCCACGTTTGATATGCATGAATGTTATTATGGTACGCTGAGAATTTTGTAGTTCCGATCAAGTTAATATCTCATTATTTGTTTCTATCTTGTTACAGTTCTGTCTCATTTTGGCATATATTATATATATACAGCACTTGCTTGTCTCTACTCAATTAATTATTAGCTTTATCCGAATTTTCAGCTGGGCGACAATAATAATGTGTCTTGAGGAGATACGAATTTGGATCTGCATGCGAACAGTGTATGTAAGTACTCTCTCCAACCTGTTCTGTCCTATCCTAGCTGATGGTGTCACTGTTGCTGCTCGTGCGTGTCAGCCATTCGACTGCACATATTTTGAAAAATGTGTTAGCCCACTTTCCGTCAAACAAATAACTTTGTGATTCCTGAGAGAGACATATCTGGTACAGCACCGTCGCATTTCCATTATGCGAACATCTATGCTGATGTATGAAACTACCAAACCTGTTTAAGCACATACTGATTTTCCATCATTGAATCCATTACATAACGGACGTAGTTTTTTTCAGTCACTGGCTGCACCGACTCTGTTTCTGGCCACCAGTCGATACTCTGTTTTCCAGTCGATACTCTGCCTCGATGGTTGGTTCCTTCGTTTGATTTGTACATAAGTCACTTGTTTATAATCTGTCACGTGAGAGTCTATGACACATCTATCCTTCTATGATTCTTCACTAGGAAGTAAGCACTTTGGTCATCGGATAATTTATGGTTGTAAGCATAGTATGTGCACAAAGATTAAGTAGAATTATTGATGTTTCTGATCCAAGTTTCTGCATGAACCGTGGTGCAGCTCAAATGGAGTTGGCTTCAATGCTTGTAAGACTACAACAGAGCCCATCGCCACAAGACACAACTTCACTTGACTGAGCCAGACGGTTTCGGCTCTTATGTTCCCCCGAGCTATTTTGTATTCGAATAAATACAATATGCTGTATCAAATTTTCAATGTACTCTGCTTCTTTTAGAACCTGCTGCAACATTTTTCTTTTTGCTGAACTCGTGGCTTGTATTATTTATCTAGTTTCTGGACCTTTCTGTGGTTCGTACATTCTAATAAGCTTGGAACGTATTTATATTTATGTTGTACGAAAGTTTGAGGAGGCTCTATGTATTTCCATTTTGCATTGCCGCTGCCTGGTTTCCACACGACGCATTTGCCCGCTGGGATGCTGGATCCAGGCATGGAACAAGAGAATCCTGCCATGGAGCTGGCAGACCTGGTATCGTTTATGTGCTGTCGTAGAGGTCCAGCTACGGCAGTTGCTGAATGAAATTGGCACCTTTTTTCCCCCCTTCTTGAACATCGGCTGATCATGACAACCAGCAGTCATGAAAGTTGTAATAGTTATACCAAAGTTACGCAGGATGAGTGAGGCACTCTCCTCTGTTGTATGGTTTTTCTAGTCCAGTTTCCATTCAAAAAACTGGACTGGCACTTGCCTTTTTTCTTTCATTGTCTAATAGAAATCGCGGCAAAGCTTTTACCGTTCTTTCTAAAAAAATGTCAAACGTGGAGACTAAAATGTGACTAAGGCCCTGTTTGATTCTAGGGACTCAAAGAGACTAAAGACCTTTAAGGCAGATAAATAAAGACCAAAATACCCCTATTTCTCTTGCCTAGCCACGCCTAGGAATGGGGCACGCCGCCGCGCCACTCCCGCCCGAGCTCCGTCTCGCCAACAGCTGCACGCGCGCCTGGGGAGGGGCGCCGCTGCGGGCCATGGTGGGGAGGGGGCGCCGAGATGCCGGAGGTGGGGAAGGGGCACCGGGATGCCGGAGTTGGCCGCTGTCTCCGTCATGGCCACAAGCTCACCAGCATCTCGTTGCGCGCCGGGATGGTGGAGAGCGGAGGCGGGCGCCTCCACTCTGTCAGATCCAGGGAGAGAAGACGCCGTCGCCGATGCTTGAAGGAAGGGCTCACCGCACCGCAGTAGCCTTCCCCGTGCACGGCCGTGAGCTCCAGGGGCTGTGAGCTCCTTGTTCGCCGTCGCCGTCGTGCATAGCCTCCTCGCACAGTCCCTATCGGTGATCCAGGCCATGGCGGCGCACGCTATAGCGGGCAGACGCGGATGGTCCCGACACAATAAAAGAGGAGAGAGATAAGGGCATGATTTGTCAACTTGGCCTAAGAGTCCCAAATAGCCATCCTTCGAGGACTACAGCCCAAACATCTTCTAGTCCCTTTAGTAGTCCATGTGTTCGAGAAAGTAGGGACTATTTTGGACTAAAATGGGCTCAGTAGTCTCTAGTCCCATCTAACCAAACATGCCCTAAAGTAGTTCAATCCCCTTTTGTCCTCAAGGGGTGACTAAACTTTAGTCAGGTGACTAAACTTTAGTCCAGTAACAAACAGGGCACAAGTTAAGTCAGAATTTTCCTCTCTTTTTTTTTGCATTTTCCTTTTTTCGAGGTTGTGGGTTGCAATTAAAGCCCTACCTTTTCAGATGCTTAATTAATTATTAATTTCAGATTGTACCGAAGCTTTCCTCCAATCTGAATTTCATTACGTATTTGGAGATGCTAAAAATTTCAGACCACCTCTGTTAATAAAATTCCTTGTCTTCTGAATTTTTTTTTTTGTATTAGTAAGATGTGGTTTCCCTTAAAATATTATTTTTGGAGACACTTCCAATTTCAGACCACCTCTGTTAATAAATTGTAAAATTTTAATATGGAAAAATATGGACCATTCATTGGGCGAGATCGGACGGTGTAAAAATAGGAGGTACCTAACTGAAAGTACCTGGAGGTACCAAATTGGTGGGGGCAATACCAACTTAGGTCGAACCAGTACCAAAATATGTAGAGCAATATCCGCCAGTGAGGCCACCGTCATGGCCGCGTGTGCTTCATGGCCAGGGTTACATCTACTTTCAGAAGGGCGCAACCTCAATTACTAAAATATCCTGTATAATATATTTCTCAATTTGTTACTTAGAAAAAGAAAAAGATGAATGCACCTGGAGGTATACCATGGTACTTTTCGATCTATAATAAAATCCCTCATCTCCTAAAATCATTTTTGTACTAGTAGAATTTGTTTTGCTTAAAATATGAGTAAGATTTTGCCCCGTAGCTAAGAGATTTGGTAGCCGTTGGCAAGCAACGCACGCTTCTTCATGTTTTATATATATTGCACTTGTTCAATCTTGAATCGTCTTTGAATTTTGATGGAGGTATGGAGAAAAAAATCTTAAATACGATACATGCATTCAGAACTCTTAAAGTTTTGACCCAGTCATTGATCATCGTAAAGAATAAGAAAATTTTAGAGACAGCAGGTGGCTTGAATGGAATCGAGGTCGAGGATGGTCACGTGAGGTGTTCAGCCGCATGGATGCATGCGCAGCGTCACATGGACGCATGTGCTACCAGCGTAGGTACCCGAGGCCCATCGATGGATGGCTGCCATAGTCCCCGGCTGCCTGGTTGCTTCTCTTCAGCTACTGCAGGCCTCCAACTAGACGCCTTGCCACCACCAACCTCCAGACCAGTGCAATGACTCCACCGCACCCAGATCTGAAGCAAGTAAGGGAAGAAGCTTGAGTGTGCTGACAGGAGCGCTGGGAAGCCTCGGCCCCAAGCGTCTGCAGCTGCTCCAGGACGAGTACAAGCTCCAGAAGGGCGTGAGGAAGCAGGTGCAGTGGCTCCACAGTGAGCTGGAGGGCATCCACACCTTCCGCTGCAAGGTCTCTGGTGTGCCACGGGACCGGCTTGACGAGCAGGTGAAGGTGTGGGCACGCGAGGTCAGGGAGGCATCTTACGACGTGGAGGATGTCCTCGACACTTTCCTTGCGCGCGTCGATGCCGCCGACCCCAGCAGGCTGAAACGCACCATGAAGAAGATGGGTAAAGTGTTCGGCAAGGCCAAGGCTCGTCGCAGTATTGCAGGTGCCATCGAAGACATCAAGAAGCATCTCGAGGAGGTAGCGGAAAGGCGTCAGAAGTACAAACTTGATGACATTATGTGCAAGCCACTCGCAACAACGTCAACTATTGATCCTCGCCTTAAAGCTATGTACAAACAAGTGACGCAACTTATTGGCGTCGACAAGTAAAGGGATGAGCTCGTATCCATGCTGATGACGTTGCAACCGGATGATGGTACCTCGAACCAGGAGATGAAGAAGGTTTCTATTGTTGGAGTTGGAGGATTAGGAAAATCCACCCTTGCCAAGGCGGTGTATGAGAATAATGTGCAAAAGAATTGGTAAAGAGTGAAAGACCAGAATTGCGTAAAACAATATCGTCTCTAAATTTCGTATTCCCGTCGGTAGAGTAATACACAACCAGCCGTCAGCTGGGAGCAAAAGGCGTCACAATAATGTGCAGAAGTTTACACCTGCAGAAGCTTTAGCCTAATCAGATGGAGCTATATATATGCAGACGCCAATAACAAGCAGAAAAAGCTTAGAATGGACAACAACATTGTCAGAGATTTTGCAGCCGATCGAGTTGACCTCGAACAGACCTAGGAACCCCGCGGAGCACAACAGCACCAGAAAATAAATCCCACAAGGGCAGCCCAGTGAAATCTAATGTGTGATTCACCGTCTCCTGCGGTCCTGGTTAGACGTTGCTTTGACTTTTTTTTGTCATCCATTTTACTATGTATTTAGACATATTTTATATCTAGATACATATCAAAATGGATGTACCAAAAAAGTCAAAGCAACTTATAATATGAAACGGAGGGAGTAGGTTGCTGCTGATCATGTACCAATCTCTTATATACGGAGAGGCTAGCGCCTGGATTTCCGGACGGACGCCCACGTCTGTTCTGCCCATCTGCTCATATTCATGTGCCGCCTGCCCCCGGCTCACCCGGATGACTTCACCCCGCCCCCAGATGGCTCGCCACCGCCCACGGCTCATCACGCGGACGCAACAGGGCGCTGGTCACCTCCACCACGTAGGACTCCTTTGCTAGGAATCGTGCAGGTCTCTTCCACACCGGTGCCGCGCTGCGTAAGCCTTCTCCCCACACCGTCGACGGCGGCCTGCGCCTCTTTCCCGCGTCAGTGG